GTTAACTGGTGTGCCACAAGAATGAGTCGCCCTGTGAGCAGAGTTTTATTGTAACCTTGCTGAGGGTTTCTGTGAGATGTTTATGAGTTTTATTTGATTAAAAACKTAGAGAACATTGAGTTGTCATTTTTAATTAATTGTGGAACAGATAAAAATAGAGCTGATAGAATGTATTAAAACCATTCTTTTTTTATTTTCAGTTGGACACAATACTGTTATTTATTTATGTGGTGCTGAGGATCTAACCCAGGGCCTCTCGTGTGCTAGGTGATGGCTCTTCCCCTGAGCCACATCCYCAGCCCAAGACCATTCTTAWTACCATATKAGTTTCTGGAACTCACATTTTACACTATAGCCAGGCTTAGACTGAATAATTGAGTAGTCTAATTATTTGGGTCTCTCTTTTTTTTTTTTTAAGTTTTTATTTATATATTTATTTATATTTGGTGCTGAGGCTTGAACCTAGTGCTTCATATTTGCTAGGCAAGCCCTCTAACACTGAGCCACAACCTCAGCCTTACTTGGGTCTCTTAAAGAAGCTGTTGGGGAGAAGGTGAGCTTGGGCTGGTGGTGGTGTGCAGCCTCTGCTGACTCTTCCTGCCTCCTGGTGTGGCTACTCAGAGATAGGGGCCCTGGTAGGGCTGCAAAGCAGTGCCATGAGACCACGCCCCTGCAGTGGTTTGTGCGGCTCTGCACGTAGGAGGGAGAGCTGGGCTGCAGTACCTCTGGTGGCCTCTGAGAATCCCCCTCATTTGGTCCATAGGCAAAACTCCTGGGAAGCTCTAAGCCTCTCTTTCCTGGTGCCAGCAAGCAGTGTTTGGAATACAGGCTGGGGCTCTGGTACCACCAGCTCTATATACTAGGGCACTGAGGTTGCTGGTTATAGCATTTCAGAGTATGGACCAGCTTAGGGGAACTCTGCTGGCAAAAAAATTCTCTGAAGGGAATCCCATCCCTTCCAAACATCTTTAATTGATCTACAGTTCATATTTCTTAAACTTTAAACAATGTTTAAACTCTGGAAATTAGTGCAAGAAAATTTGCCTCAGCAGTGTCAGTCATGACACATAAAATGCAGAGTCTGTCATATCCATTTTGGAGAGGAGCCCAGGAGTTTTGATTAAGAAGTAGGGAAGTAGAGACTTAAATCCTGCTATCCTACCCTTTGGTAATTAACATTAGAGAACAGACTAACAAATATCACTTATCAGCTGGGCAAACATTTTTCAAGTCTGACAATACCAAGTATTAGCAAACATGTGGGAAGGCAGGAACTCGCAGAACTGGTTGGTTGAAAGTTGATACAAAGACTGGGGTTGTGGCTCAGTGGCGAAGCGCTGGCCTAGCTCATGCAAAGCTCTGGGTTCAATCCTTAGCACCACATAAAAGTAAATAAACAAAAATAAAAAATAAAGGTATTGTCCACTACAACAGCAACCAAAAAAAAAAAAAAGAAGAAGAAGAAGATACATGCAATTATTAGGTTTAGTAAAATAGAAATAAACATTCTCCATAACCAAGAATTCCATTTCTGGGAYATATAGAAGCTCACCATACTATGAGTTGTTATAGGAGACATACTTTGTTGTTATAATATTAATAGGGGAAATTGGTTTAATGCCCAGGGCAGGTGGTTAGCTACCAGTAAGGGAATACATAAATGATCTCTTTGTGCAATGGGCTGGTATGGTAGTTCACATGAACTAGCTGGATCCTTATACCAACTGGATGGATCTTAAATGTRCCGAGTGAGAAAGAAGTTATTCAGTGATATGCACAGTACTCACTTAGGATATTAAAAATGGCCAGTATATAGATAAACTGCATGAACTTAAATGAACTAGGAATATACAGAATTCATGTTAGTGATTTGGGTGCCAAAATTAACAATAAGGACTAGGGATGTTAAATAGGAAGGCTTAGAGGAAACTGGAGCGGGAAGAAAAATGAACTGTATAAAATTGTTATTTTTAGAAAGTCTGAGGAAAATAGAACTCATTGTTAATGGTCAGTTCTGGGTGGTAGAAAAACATGTTAGGGATTTTTTTTGTTGTTATTGTTTTGTTTTGTATTTTCCCTCCCTAATTAAAAAAAATCCAAAATAATACAAGTAAACCTGTAAAAGCTGCTTTAGGGGAGACACTGGTGCTAACTAGGTCAGTACTCTTGGATAGCTGTCACTGCTTTTTCTCAAGTCCTGTCCCCTACCCCAACTGTGGTGTAAGGAATCTCCTTTAAAAGCTGAACCTCACTTTATTCAGGCCATAACCCTGGCTTTAGAGGTCTCTAAACCAGGGTCCCAGGTTCCTGGCAGCTTCCAGAGTTTGGGAATCATGCCTAGAAGCACTATCCCATTGCTTAAGCTTATTAAGAATGCACCATGTGCCAACACAGCAAAAGCTTCTCCCAAAATTTCCACCTTCAATGCTCTGCTCTGGCCATCTAGGATAGAACCAGGGAATCYTTGGCATTTGAGGGCATCAAGTGTTCTGACTCTGGACTTCCTGTCCGAAAACGAAAACTGAGTGGTAGTGGTCTTTCATTTAACATCAGTTTTTGTGGGKTTTTTTGCCCTATTCCACACTGTAGTTTGAAATAGTTCCTTAGGCTCCTGCTGATAGGTTTATGTCACTTGTTCTAACCCCGAAGAATAAAAGAACATTGTCATCTGCCTCCCYTCATCCCCAGCAGGAGAATTTTTCTTGACCCTACAAATGGGTTCATTTTTTGTTTAGCTGATAACACTCAGATGTTGCCTTCTGTTACAGGCCCTGCTTGAGGTAGAGTGTAGACTTCAGACTGAGATCTCYTCGCTAAAGGAGATTTTATTGTCTGTACACAAACACATTGCTGTGTTTTAGGATGGAACAGACCTTACCAGAGTCCTGTGGCTAGCTCATCACCCAGGTTGTTTCCATAGTCAGTCTTGGAGACTCTTCTTCCCTTTTCCATCTTGAGAAAGCAGGCTGACCTGAATACCAGCATATTATGGTACAAACCTTTCTGTTGATGCTGGAGTTCTGAAGAGTTGAGAATTAAAAGCCCTTCATGCTGGCATGGAAAACATGAGGAGCTTTTGGATGTCAGAGCAAGGAACTCTTGGACCTCCCAGCAATATTTGAGGAAGAAAGTGGGCTTGAAGTGCCATCATTATTGGGTTGGTCTGTATGATGAGGTTGGTATTGAAGCATAATTGGTACAGAGAGCCCTGCTGATTGAAAATTGGCTTAAACAGATGAAGACTAATAGGCCAAGTTAGTTTATTAGGGCAGAATGATTTGAATCATTGTGAAATGTAGAGTTGATGGAGTGAAGCATGAATCTTTTCCAGCATGACCTGACAATAGTGCTGCCTGCAAGAAGCAGAGCATTTGCTATTTTTTTATATGGTTCTACCCTCTGGTTTTTGAGGAATGGTCAAAGAATTGTCTCTGGCACAAAGGAAACTAATATAAGAGACAACTAAGATGAGATGGGAAAGGGTAGAATTGGGCACCTGGAGTTAAGCTGTGCTGTGCCTGCTACCACCTGTTAGCCCAGACTAAGCCCTCAAATGGTGTCTCATTTCTCACAGAGGAGAAATGGCTCTGAGGAAGATCCTACTGCAGGGGCTCAGGCTCAAGAGTAAGCCTTTGCCAGTACCTGGGCATGGTGTTTGCTGCTATCAGGGAACACATCAGGCTTCCATTCTCAACTGGAGGTTGGCTTTGCATGTCTGTGCCTCCTGAGGAGGAGGATGCAGTAGTGAGTCAGACTGGCATGGGTGGGGCCGCATGTCCTGGCAGACACTGTCYAGGCAGCCGGCAGGCAGAAGAGGAACATTTCCCAGAGGTACACCCTAAGAAACCAGGGCTGCTTTCTGGGGCCAGGGGAGATCCTAGAGGATGTTTTACCAACAACTCTAGGTGAGAAGTGGGAGGGATAGGCAGTTTGTGTTGGAAGCAGAGGATCTTTTTTGGAGAGTCAGGAGGGCTCCAAGCAAGCTCTTTTTGACTRCTGGTGTGTAAATCTACTAAAATTCCAAACATATTTTCATTTCTGTACTTAATAGCAAAAAAGTAGAGCTTATAGACTTCAGATTTAAATTTGAGATGATGAAATAGGGTCTGTTTGACKCCAATATATAGTGCTAATGGCATTATCCTGGTCCTGGAGACAGCCCTGCTATACCAGAACATCCTTGTCACAAAGGTACTGTGCTTGAGAGTAGACTAAACAGGAAAAGAAATTTGTTGGATTTGGGCATGGAACTAACAGACTTTTGGCATGGAATTGTCCTTTGGACTGTATTACTTTTTTTTTTGGCCTCAAGGTTCTCAGTGGATCAGGGTTGACCTTCCTAAGTCATTGAAAGTGGCCTACAATGCTTCTGTGGTTTAGGGCCCAAGGCCTCTGCCACATTTAAGCAGAATATTTTCTGAAGGAGAGAGCAACAGTTAATACCTGGAACTTCATATTTCTTTTAATTCCAACAATTTTATAGGTGCTTGTAAATATATTACTTAAATAAAAAGTATACGTATAATTCTTTAATAAAATTTCTAACATTAAATATTTTTATAATAAGGAAAAGAAAAAAATTTGCTGTAGTTCTGCCACCCAGACAACATACTGTTAAAAAAAAATTTGGTATATGTCCTTTAGACCTTTCATGAATGTTTAACTTGGTATCCCTTTCCCACAGTGGGGGACTAGGTTCTTCCATAGAGTAGTGGGGTGTTAGTAAATCACAGGTTAAAGAGACTTCAGGGTGAGGTGGTTTTGGGGTGTTGGGAGTATAGCATCCCAATGGGAACCAGTAAGACCTCACTTTTAACTTGTGAATTTTCTATTAACAATTAGAATGCTTCTGTAATTTTCTCTGTATCATAGCTGAACCTTTAGGAATAGCTTCTGCTCAGACACCTGATTATTAAGGTAACTTTCCCTTTACCCCTAAGAGCTTTAGTTACACTCGGCTTTTACCTTAATCCTTGTACAGTTCTCCAGGGCAAACCTTATTCAGCTCTGAGCGATGTATGCAAGTGGGGCCAAGGAGCGGCCAAGGTGCTGAGCCAAATAAAGAGGGATATATCACCGAAAACCCAAGCCCAGGGAACCAAAGGTATGACTTGATAATGAAGTGGCCCCAAGCTAGTCTTTGAAGGAAGACCAAAGGTCTAGAGGAGAGCCAGTTGATGGGTTTTCAGGAGAATGGAATGAGTGACTCTGTCACACTCATCCAGATCTTGTGTTCTTCACAGTACAGTCTTTGGACTGAATGACATTCTGTGGAGGCTACAGCAAGGCCTTTGTGTTCTGGTGGCCTGATGTGCCAACTCAATGATGTTCCCTTAACAGCCAGATTTTCCTAAGCCCAGCTGGGAGCCCTGAAGGCTTATGAGCCATGCCTCAACCATGAGTGTAGATCAAGGGGCCCTGTTAGTAATTTAGGAGTTCCTCAGACTTGGGGAAGCTGGAGAGGAGGTATAACTTTCAGAAAGGCCTTAAATTAGACAGAAGGTCATCAYACTGAACTGCCTCCAAGTACTAGAAGCCAGGAGATACAAAACCAATTAGTCCTGGAGAAGAGGACTGACTTTCTTTTTGGTACCTAGTATATTAGAGGGGTAGGAAAAGCTAATTGAAATCAACAGTATATTTTCCACCAGGAATAGTTAGCTAGTATCTTAGTTCACTTTAAGAGTTTTCAGTTCTGAGCTGGGCATAGTGACTCAACACCTGTAATCCCAGCCACTTGGGAGACTGAGGCAGAAAGATTCCAAGTATGAGATCAACCTCAGAAATTTAGTGAAGCTGCCTCAAAATAAAAAAGGGGTGTAGCACAGTGGCACATGCCTGTAAACCCAGCAGCTTGGGAGGCTATGACAAAGCCACACTTGACTTTGGTGAGGTGCTTAGGAGTGTAGAGGTACCTCAGTGGTAGAGTGTCACTGGGTTCAAACCCCAGTACCACTGCGGGGGGAGGTGAAATTTTAAAAATTCAGTTTTATAGTTGAAGGCTTGTAGCTATCAGTTTTCCATGACTGGTCACCACTGGTCGCAAAGCTCATTGGTCCTTCACCAAGCCTTCTTGGAGATGGCAGAGGTGGTTTAGATGCATGCTGTCCCCGAGTAAGGGTCCTTGATTTGAGGCCCTGAGATTTGGGGAAAGGTGGAGCAGGGCTAAGGATAGGCTTATTCCTAACCTTTGGCCAGAGCCTTTTTTAGAGTAGCCCTTGTTCTGAGGACTTTGAGAAGGATGTCTGGCTTCTGGTTCACATCCTTCCCTGATAGTTCTTCAAATGCTGCCCAAAATCCTCCTCTTGATTTCTGTGCTCTAATCAGCACTGGAAGCTTCTCCTGAATTCTTCAGACTCTAATCAGGTAACTCACTGGCTCAGTGAGTTTAGTTGTAGGTCAGTAATAAAGTAAAGCAAAGGTCAGGACAATTGTAGGGATTATGACCTGGGCTGGTTAATTGCCTGGAACAGATGGTCCTGTTGTTGAGAGGCAGCACACTTGTCAGACTTAGAAAGAAAGGGAAGCAGGTGAAACATTAAAAATTAGTTGGGGAAACATCATTTCCTTATTGGGGCTATCTTATTAATATAGTTGTAAAAATTTGACATTACCTTGTGTGTGTTACTAGGGATTGAACCCAGGGCCTCACATATGCCAGGCAAGTGCTCTGCCACTTAGCTACGCCCCCCAACCCATTTGTAGTGACTTTCTGTATTTTTTGATACCAGGAAGTTAACCACTTTATCAAAGGCACTTAACCACTGAGCTACATCCTCAGCCCGTTTTTTGTTTTTCAGACAGGGTCTTTCTAAGTTACTGAGGCTGGCTTCAAACTTGCAATCCTTCTTCCTCAGCCTCCCAAGCCACTGGGATTGCAGGCATGCACACTATTTGCCCAGTTTGTAGTGACTTTAAAACTGAATCAGTACCATTGTGATTATCCTTGGTTTTATTTATTTATTTTTAATATTAGTTGTAGATGAACACTTTATTTTTATTGTTTATTTTTATGTGGTGCTGAGGATCGAACCCAGTGCCTCACATACGCTAGGCAAGCACTCCGCCACTGAGCTACAGCCCCAGCCCTATCCTTGATTTTAATTTTATTGCTTTGCATACATATGAAACTTCTCAGACCAAAACTAGGGGTGTGTGTGTGTGTGTGTGTGTGTGTTTGTTTGTTTGTTTGTTTCTTTAGAATCCTGAGTTGAGATATTTTGCATTCAGGGTTCTCTTTCTAGTTAAACTTTTCTTCCTGTTGATGGGGACTACATTTTGTTCCTACTATTACCTTGTAGGAGCTGAAGAATAAACTTAGATGGCACTCTGAATAGTGAAAGCAGCTAGGATTCTGGAGCTAAGACTTACTGGGCAATGGTTGTTTCCACAACCAGGGAGATTGCTTGGGTTTGGGTGAGGACTGTAAAGGGGCTATGTGGGTGCTTCACACCAAAGCAGATATTTGTAGCTTTGAGACCGCTTACCATACAAAGATCTATACTTATTAAGGAGCTAAAGTATGAGGTACAAACAAGTTGTGTGTATCGCTGGAAGATTGGTTACAACTTCCTTTTGMGAAAGTTCCTTCAGTGCATGTAAAATGGTGTTATTTATAGGGTTGGTGGGAAAGCCATCAAAAGTAGATTCCAGCCCAGTGTAAAAGAGACCTGCTTACTCTGAGTCCCTGGGAAGGACATGGATTTGGTTTTTAATTTGTTCATTAAGGTTCTTCCCATTTGCTCACAGTTGTGAGAACTCTTTGCCCAGTTTGAAAAATGCCCACATAAACAGAGCATGTCTGGCCTCCCTGTGGCTTGTGCACAAAGCCTGCTTATTGAGTTAATGTGTAAGCAGGAGATATCCTCCTGTGCCAAGTGGCATATTAACCACTTCTCAATCTAATTGCTCTCTCTCCAATTACCTCCGTCCCAGGACCTCAGAAGAAGCCTCAGCAGCCATGTCGAAGCCCCATAGTGAAGCCGGGACTGCCTTCATTCAGACACAGCAGCTGCACGCAGCCATGGCTGACACGTTCCTGGAGCACATGTGCCGCCTGGACATTGACTCTCCACCCATCACTGCCAGGAACACTGGCATCATTTGTACCATTGGTATGTGGGTGTGTCCCTCCCTCAAACACGGACTTCATGTGACAGTGGCTASTTCTCTCCTGAAGACTAAACAAATGTTGTAGCACATAGGTGCTCAGTGAGATRCTACATAGATTTCTTTTAAAAAATATTTTAGTTGTCAATAGGCCTTTATTTTTATTTTTTTATATGTAGTACTAAAGAATTGAACCAGTGCCTCTCAAATGCTCAGGATGCGCTCAAACACTGAGCTACAACCCTAGCCTGCTACAAAGATTCTTGTGGGAACTGGGGTCAAAAGAAGTTGCAATAAAGTATCCTGTATTTTCTGCTATAGGCAAAATTTAGAGGATGTCCTTTTTTTTTTCTTTTTTTACTCAATGCCTTTATTTTTATGTGGTGCTGTGGATCAAACCCAGTGCCTCATACATGCTAGGCAAGCACTCTACCATTCAGCTATAATTCTAGCCCAAGGGTGTTCTTTCTCAGCAGATCTTTATAAGAACATCTCAGAGACCTAGTAAATATCATTTTGACATGCTCTGTGCCACCAAGGTACTATGGTTGGAAGTCTGGATGAGCTTCAGGGAGGGCAAAGAGGGCTGGCCAAATCTTCCTTAGGCTTTCCTTTTTAGTTAGGGGCCTGCAGAATTTGAAGGAAATGGGAGGAGTGTACTCCAAAATCAAGAAAGTAGCTAGCATAGTAGTAGTCTTTTATGCACTTTTCAAAGACTTTCGTGCTGTCTAGGGGAGGAAACATTTAGGAAAAAAAAAAAAATTAAGATGTCAAGACATTTTAAGAGCTTAAGCAAATTTATTGTTTTCCTACTTGTACATCCTTTTTCCTATTATGGCTCTAATTTTTTTTTTTTTTTTTTTGATAGGCCCAGCTTCCCGATCAGTGGAAATGTTGAAGGAGATGATTAAGTCTGGCATGAACGTCGCTCGTCTAAACTTCTCTCACGGAACTCACGAGGTGAGGCTCAGGTGGATAGTGAGGTTCTGCGGACAGCTTGTAGGAAGCAGAGAGGGAACGTCACATTTGTTTAGCCACAGTAGACCAGGCATGTATGAGTCTTGAGTTTTACTGTGAATGAGACATTGTCTTTACTGGCCCGTCCCTATTCTCCTCCCCATCTCTACTGGCCAAGTCTCCTTAAGCAGACAAAACCTGATTTGTCACTGGCCRTAATTCTCCCATGTACCTAGGCTACCAGTAGCACTCACAAAGGAAGGCATGGAAAGGCACTCCTAGAAACTCCTCTCCTGTGGTGAGCTGTGGTGTCTTGGCTACAGCACTATGTCCACTGTTGCAAGTTAGGAACCAACTCTCAAGCACTAACACTATCTGGCATGCGATAGTCTACACTCAGCATTGTTTTCACAGCTACCCCTTGCCAAGGGTCCTGATGTGTTAAAATAACCAGTCAGCACTCCTCAGGAGCCTGGTGGGAATGGGGCTTTACTTAAACTAGGACCAGGTGGCAGCTGTTGGGAAGGCTCTGTTCCCAAGTTTGGAAGAAACTCATTCTGAGCAGTGGGGAGTAGGAATGGTGCAGTGAGATGGGCTGCTCCCTGAGAGATTGTGCCTTTTTAAAACCTTCAGACTTGACATGGATTTCCCATAGTCCATGGGATCTCATCTCATCCTGTCCTTGATGGACCATTGATGAAAAAAGGAAGCTTTACCCTGTCTTTGCTTCTATACTTCTATTTAGAGTAAAGAAAATGCTACCCTGTGAGGTCAAGTGGTAAGGGGGTTGCCCTCTGGCCTTTGGAAATTGGTATTAAGTTTGGACTAAAAATAAGTCCTCACGAACAGCAATCCAAGAAGTGAATTCCTCCTTTCTGGGAACATGAGACTCTTCTTCATAGACTCCCAAACCATGTTCCATAAACAGCCTATGGCCTGGCGGAGGCTTACCCTCAAATGTCATGAGAGCTAGACCTGGTCCAGCAGACACCTAGGCAGGTTAAGCATGACTTTGTTGACATTCTGTAATTGTTCAGGAGGGGACTTTTCAGCAAATCATCAGGAATTAACTATAAATGATACCTTAGCTTAAAGATAATGCAAAAGGTAACAGTGGCTGGGCATGGTGGCACACACCTAAAATCCCAGTGACTCTGGAGGCTAGGGCAACAGGATAGTGATTTCAGTTAGCCTCAGCAAATTAACAAGGTCCTAAGAAACTTGGTGAGACTCAAAAATTAAAGGTAAAAAGACAACAATGAAGATCTGCTCACCATTGATCTCCCCTGCTGGAGTCTGTCACTGTCTCCCCATGCAGAAGAGGGAACAGAAATAGATTTTGAGAGTTGACCTTTGATGAGGCTTTATGACTCCTTCCATCCAGTAAAATAACACCGCCCAGATCTGAAATGGCAAGGGCTAGTGGTATCTGCTTCATCTGCAGGACAGGGGCTGGCTTAGGAGAGGTGTTTGGAAATTATCCGTACTTGAACTCTGATTCCAAGATTAGAATTTTTTTTTTAAGTCYCTCTTATAAGTTTAATTTCAGGCTTTACATGAGATGAAGTTTTCCCTGAGATGTGGGTTTTGGAAACAGATCTGAAACTGTCCCAGTATTATGTAGTGACATGTAAACAGTTTTAATTTGGCTGCATTTTAGGACTCTTACTTCATGCCCACCTTCAACTAGAAACTGGGATGTACTTTTCTGCTCTTTGACAAGTTTAAGTACTCTTCTGAGAACTTTGAAATTGCTTTCTCTTGCTTTCTGATAGAGGGACATCATGTGTCTACTTCTGGTCTTCTGACAGCTTTGGCAGTATCTCTAGCCCCCACTTTTGGCAGTTCACATGGGCAAGATGTGTACTTGCTGAACATGCGCTTCCATAATGCCATGTTGGCTAGAAAATACTGACTTTTAAACAACCTAAATTTAGAGCCTTCTGAGCCTTCTACAAGGACAGCACTGATGGCTGGCTCTTAACCATTTGATAACATGCCAGCCAAACCACAGCCACCCACAGTGGGTGACAGCAACACATCTCCCAGAAACATACCAAAGATAACCCACATAGGTGATTTAAATAATACCTAATAATCTAATCATTATTATAATATACTGTTTTACCTCCCCCAGACATATTTGTCTTTTAAATAAATGCATATTTATTTAAAAGACTCAGTTACAAAAATGTAGTATACCACCGAAAAAAGTTAAAAGTTTTATAAAACCTTCAAGTTGTATAAAATAGAAAGTATACAGAAACATTGTCTGACATAATYCTTTAATGAAAGTTGAGAACAAAATCTAAAGTATAATTAAGAAAACTTCGAAATGCACTTATTCTAGGAAGCAGAAATCTCAAGGTAGATGAAATATTTCATCTCAAAACACTTGAAAAACAACCTAAAAGGGTAACAAGAAGGAATTGATCTTATATAAAGGCATAGCTTAATACAAAAGAAATTTGTCAGATTAAAAGTTGATGCTGTGTCCGGGGAAATAGGTAAACGGAAACTTCTGGAAAGTCTGATCAAAAATATGAAGATGCTGGGCTGGGAATGTGGCTCAGTGGAGAGCGCTTTCCTGGCATATATGAGACYCTATGTCAATCCCCAGCACAAAAAAAGGAAGTAGTTCATATACATTAGAAGAAATTTTTAAGGTCAAGAAAGACTTAATTTCTATAAATACAGGTGAAATTGATTATTTTCTAAGAAAATATATTTATTCAAAAGGTAGAGAATATGAGTAAACCCAATCACCTTAAAAAGTTGGAAAAGTGAGTATGACATCTAGCTTCCTTAAAAATGTTAAGAGACAAATGATGCAGAGCAAACCTAATGCTTTGTACATGCTAGGCAAGTGCTCTACCAGTAAGTTCCACCTCAACTCAAAGCAAAATGACTTTAATAGCTAAATTTTGTATCCTTCAAGGGACAGTTTAATCCTCCATTACACTGTTCCAGAGATTACAGAAGCACAGAAATCTCCCCCATGTTCTTTTAAAACCAATACACTGACAGGGACAGAAAGGGAAAGTATCAAAACCAGACTAACCAGGTTAGTACTAATGGTTAGTACTCTAGACCAATCAATCTTACTTAGAAAGATGGGCAGAAAGCATAACTAAAATTTAGCAATTCAAATCCCATAGTGTGTTAAAGGAATTTTATGACCCATGATCAAGAACATTTTATTTTAGGAGTGTAGAGTTCTACATYGGGATTAAGTAAGAATGGTCACTATAAGATTATGATGATAATAAGTAACATTTATTAAATAATGACCATATGCTTGACTCCATTCTGAATACTTCATGTGTTCTTTAACTCATATCAAATCAACTCTGAGGAAAAGGCATTTGACACCAGGGTGCATGGCGMATTCCTGTAATCTCAGCAGCCTCAGAGTCTGAGGCAGGAGATTACAAATTCAAGGATAGCCTCAGCAACTTAGTGAGGCCCTAAGCAAGTTAATGAGATTCTGTCTAAAAATAATAAGAAAAAGGGCTGGGGATGAAGCTCAGTAACTTTGAGGACTTCTACAAAACAAACCAGTGGGTCATTTAGAGTGTGAGTTCCAATCTGAGAATTTCAGACATAGCCTTTAGGCAGCACAGTCCTTAGAGATTAGGTTATGGCTCCAGCTCTGCACCAACCACCTGCAAATAGTAAGCAAGCCTGCTTGCAGTTGCTGCCCTCATGGACAAAGGTGTTTAAAGGATAAGGCCCATAAAGTGCTCAATTAAGTACCCCTGTTATCAGTAATGTGTCACAAGGATTATAGTATCTAAGAGCTCTTTTGACGTCTTATCTTGACCAACTCTTTTTTTAGTCTAACAGTRGTGGCAAAGGGAAAGGGCTTTAAGGGAAGATTCAAACCAGGATTTATTGCAAGTGAAGGGGAATTCCTTCAGAAAAAAGCATCTGACCACCTTTTCCTATTCCTCTCTAATTAGAACTCTAGAATGTGATTATGTAACCAGGTTCATGTGACCTTAGTAATGAATTATTTAGCTTRGACCACTTTGAGCTTAAGTCAACAGCTTTCAGTTTGAATTGTAGTTGGGATCACTAGAAAAAAAGCACAGAACCTGATCCTAATAGCTAGGGAAACCTTGTCCAAACACAAGTCTTGGGTCTTTTGCTCCAGTTTTCTGCTTTATTTGCTTAGGGTTCTCAGTGAGTCCTAGGGACAAGAGAACAGTTGAAGAAACACAGATGAGGTCTGTTCAAACCCTTGGCTTTAGTGGGTTTTTGTTTTTGTTTTTGGGTACCAGGATTGAACTCAGTTTCACTTGACCACTAAGCCACATCCCTACCCCTATTTTCTATTTTATTAGAGTCAGAGTCTCACTGAGTTGCTTAGCACCATGCTGAATTGCTAAGGCTGGCTTTGAACTCTTAATCCTCCTTCCTCCGCCTCCCAAGCTGCTGGGGTTACAGGCATGTGCCAGTGTACCTGGCCTCTTTAGTGGTTTTTGGTTGTAGTATTCTGAACATTCCCAAGACTGGTTTAAGGCTGAGGACATTAAAGGGAGTATATAGAGGATGCCCAGTATATAGACAGTGAGAATAGAGGATGGTGGTAGAGGTCTGGAACTTCCACAGGCTTTTCTAAGTGATCAGCTTCAGCTCTGGGGCAAGGAATGAGTTGGATCCAGGTGTGAGAGGACACTTATCTTCCACCTTTCTCTTAGTACCATGCAGAGACCATCAAGAATGTCCGTGCAGCCACAGAAAGCTTTGCTTCTGACCCCATTCTCTATCGGCCAGTTGCTGTGGCTCTGGACACTAAAGGACCTGAGATCCGAACTGGGCTCATCAAGGGCGTAAGTATCTTGGGGAGAAAGAAGGTAGCCCCAGAAATGCCTCTTTGATAGTCTGTATCTTGCCTAGATGCCTTGTTTTGGTGTGCAAATGAAGGTCTTGYTTTCTTCATTGTTTTAAAAAAAAATTTTGATTTAGTTTGCTTGAAAATGGTACTACAGAGGAGCTGGTTTTTACTCTAAAAGCCACTCCCAAGTGTCTCTCAATTTGAGGAGCAATTTTTTCATATCTTTCTTCCCCCCATCATTGAGTAGTATGACATCATTCTTTCTCTGGATTATTCCCTTGAAATCTATGAAGTTAGGGAATAAGAGCATTTATTCAAGAAGATAAAAGTTTTCATATTACTTTCATCTGAGATTTGAACATTGTTCCCTGGGGGAAAGAACTTTTCTGTTCCTGTCAGATGGTGGGTTGCTAGCTTCTGCAGTCTGGATTCTTACATTCCCTCTTGTACATGTACATAGAGCGGCACTGCAGAGGTGGAGCTGAAGAAGGGAGCCACTCTTAAGATCACTCTGGATAACTCCTACATGGAGAAATGTGATGAGAACATCCTATGGCTGGACTACAAGAACATTTGCAAAGTGGTGGAAGTGGGTAGCAAGATTTATGTGGATGATGGACTTATTTCTCTGCTGGTGAAGGAAAAAGGT